TGAGTATTTTTATATGATTGCTGTTTAGCAGTCACGTGAAGTTGTCCATGGCGGAGAAAATCTAACCGACATATAAAAGCTATGGAAATTAACTTCGACAGTATAAGTCTATCATGTGTCAATTACATATATACTTTTGACTTTTTCAAACTTTCATACCAACATCGAGGGACCCAAACTATTAAGGGGATATTAGATTTAACTTGATAAAAAGTATCTTAATTTTTTTATTGATATTTGTATGTTCATTTTCACATTAACTTGAAAATTATACATACATAATTGCAAGATTATTCGTAAATAAGAAATGTTTAATTTTGTTAATTACGTATAATCTTGCAAACCCAAATACTACGGAGTGTACTAATCCTCAATCATATCAGAATGAGGGTTACTATGGGCGTCATAATGTTTTTACTACACTTCATTAGATGGACTGATAGTATGTTTGCTATTCCATTTCGTAAAAACTGGTGTCTCCCCGTATTAGCGAAATACTAGTCTACTGTTACGAAACTCTCTATATAACTTATGTATTCCTGGTTATTTAAAAAAAAAAGCAATGTAAAGCAAAATAGCGATGTCAAATAACTATAATAAAACTAATATCATAACAGAGTATGCAATTGTCTGTAACCTTCTGCCTTTTTCTTTCCCTATGACGTCTCCTAAACTGGTTAGTGGCTGTAAAAATATGAACTAATAAAAATTAAAAGGAAGAAACTGTACACATAAACTGGCTTTGCGAACTAGTTAAGACGAGCCCAAACCTTATCAGTTTTCCATCTCTCGTATTGACGTTGTATTCTTATTTTTCATAGCTGCCATTTACATACAGACTTTCTCGAGGACAATACGTTATACTTTACACCCAAGTAACACATACTTAATTCGTAATTTGTGGAATGCATGTAGCCTTCGATACAAATGGAAACGGAACGGAATGACAAGTGAACTCATGTGGACATAAGAATTTCTTTGTTCTCACTGAGATACAAGTAGGTACAATGTTCAGTTTCGTATTTCGGGTAGGTGTAAGTACTTATACAAAATTTTATTGGAAGAAACAACCTTTATTTTTCTACTAAGCACATTATCATATTACGTTGGCAGAAATAAATCTAAAGTAAAGTGGAAGATTACTGGAAACACAAAATTGAATTTTATTATTGAAATATAACTAATAGACACATAATAAAGTTTGGGAAGTTTTGGGTGTTTAGATCTTTACACAATTTTTATTAAAACGCTTAATATTTTTTTTATATACTTGAAACTTTACAAGTAAGCTAATGTTTGGTGTTCCGTGTAAATGGAAAATGGCAATAGTCATCTTTAAATAACAACAGAACCATAATCATTATAAATAGAATAAACACGAATACAGAGAAGTTTGACATTAACGGGCACGATTATGCGACGAGAGCCTCAGATTCTTAAAATAAACTAGCATTTGGCTTGTTTATTTTAGGAAGCAATACAGTAAGTAGCTACGTATTGAAAGTCATAGTACAATAAGAATTTCTTTATTTCACGGGCATTCTAGAATAAATAATACCTATTTGAAAACTGCTAGTTACTAATATACTGAACAATAAATTAATATAAAAACAATTTTATTCTATTTTTATTTCATTTTTTATGAACTATTACTTAGACTATTTATTAATTATTACTTAAAAACAATAGTGTATCGCCATGATTAATTACTGAATATGCCACGTTTAGAAAACAAACTACACTTTTGATGAAAAGTACAAATTAATAATGTTAACGCCGATATAAATTTTCTTTTCGCTAGTATAAATCCTCAAGTCGCATAGTCAAAACATACATAGATATATTATTAAGCAAATAATCACTATTGAGTAGCAAATGAAAGCATACCAATCTTGATGTCTATGGCAAATACTATATTCAATTCTATTACGATCGCAAAATCTATACTCTCTGCTTATGTATCTAGAGTCTAATTTACATTGCGAAACTTGTTTTGTAAATAAATTAATTTCACGAATCAAAATAATTTAATTTACATTACAGTTTCAATAGCCCAAAACGAGTGAACTTGAGTTGTGTTGATTTCCTGATAGCTATTATAACGCCCACTCGAAGCGTAGACACTTTCACTATAATGACATTTCGTCGAATTTACATGATAAAATTGAAAAATCGCATTTAGCATGAAACTGTTTTATTTTTTAAGTTGATGCATACCTTAAATTAAAGATTTACACCAAAAACCGTTTATATAATTAATGTCATTAAACTATTTGTGTTACTAATTTCACAGAATATAATATAAATTTACTTTGTATAGTTACAATAAAATAACCATTAAAAATATGCATCAAAAATAAATCAGTTTTTTCTTTTATTATATATAGGTAGCAAGGACTTTTGTATCGGTATTTCAATTACCTTGGATCAACTTTTCCCTTCGTAAAATACTATAGGAATGAAACATGGTTATATTTCTAAGTCGAACTGACAGCCACCAAAACATTATTCAAAAGTTATTTAATATAAAAATTCATCATCAATTCCTGTAATAAATTACACATGAAGTCAGATAAGAAGATAAATAGAAAAAGTTGTAATATACATTTCGGCGTGTCGACCTTGTTGTAGATACATTTGTTTATAACGGTTATCTAGGAAAAATTGCTGGTTCATTGATAAATAGCGCTTCGAATATCCAATTATTTGTCAAGGCGATTCGGAATCCGTGAGGCGGCCGTCACTGCCGCGTTTTGTGATACGAACCCCTGGGGATATCATGAAGATGTATGAGGATGAAAAAGGTTATCCTTTTAACCTTTGCGTTTTCAACAATTTCTTCTTTCAGAACATACAGTTGGTAAAATACTAAAGATTCCTTTGCCCTCGACTAATCGGTTTACAATCTGCCGAAGTAGCCGCTTAGATATTGTCGTACTATTACTAATTCTCATAGAATTTATTTTCGTCTCTAGTTCAATATCTTCTGTATTCTTCATGACCTACTATTTAGTTCTTAGTTCATTGAAAAGAACAAAAAAAGATGTAAGCTATTTAATATACAGCAAGTTTTATCAATTATTTTTGTTTTATTTAATATACTGTTATCTGTATATGTCGACAAATTTCTCTATTAATCTCAGATGTTTCTATGTGTTTTAAACAAATTTTCCTACTACTCATGTAAAGATGTACGCTCTCAGAAATATTTAAGACCCTACTAAGACATATACTAATACAAGTTTTTTTTATGTTATTCATAGGTCAGCCATTCTAATATTCGGGTAATGAGGTATAAATTGTGATTATGATAGACCCCCACGTATTGCAATTTTTATGAAATTTGCTTCTTATACTTAACCTATCATAAGATTAAAATATTGTTAATTAATTTTGTTTAAAGTGAAAATGGATAGTTACTATCTGACTATAATTTGAGATACTAGATGACAACTTTCCGTTAAACCTTTCTAAAAATTCAACAATGACGTAAGTTTATCAGGTATTTGCTTCAAAATATCTAAGACTGTACAAAGTCACATCTCTGTTCAATATTAATTTCATAAGTAATATATCAAATCCACCCTTGCTAACAAGTTGTTAAACTAATCCCTGTATTTTTTTTTGATGTGCAATAAAGCATTTATGTAAATCAAAATTAAATGATATATAAAATTAACCTTAGTACGTATAATACAATAAGCATGTAAATGACATCACACCGTAGAAGAAGCTACTGACAAAATAAAACGTGGTGGAGGACACGGCTGTCGGCCGCAGTCTCCCTGCTGACCTGCTCCCTTGTCCGTACCGTAAATATCAATAAGAGTATCACACATATTATACGCACGTTTGTTTACTTTACGCATATGTACCTATCTTATATTCGCATATGGGGTCAAATCATAATCTGTCACACTTCGACGCATTTGGATCTTTTGTGTTTTCCTCTGTTTTACTCTATTACCTTATAGGTTTTGTACATTAGCCTTACGGTATCTCAAGGTTTGAGATAGGTATCTGTAGACTTCTGACTTCAGTTTTTAATCGTTTCTAGCACACAATACGCATATTTATAATGAATCATAATTATACATCAAATGTTCCATACGTTAAGATTCCCTATGACTATAAAATGGTTTTATATACAACGCGTACCTAAATGACCATATCACATTATTTAACTTCTACTGCGTAAAAATCTCTATTTCATCTCAAATATTACCAATGTACCAAATTTCATAACATTTAGTTGAACCATTGCGGTACCAAGAGGTAATAAACAATTAAATACACTTTTACATATATAATATTAATAAAGTCTAGTTTTTACCTGTCAAATCAACATGACCAAGTTATACTAAATACGATAAAAAGCGACCTTTGTCCTCTATTCTAAATTCCACGTACATATTCCGAATGTCACGACAATTAAAATATTAAGCCGTCAGAATTAAATCAGCAAAACATAAAATTATATGCGAAATCAATGTGAGACTTCCGCGTATAGGTAAATCTATTTACCAAAATAAATATTTTACATTTGTAAATTAATGTTTAACAACTCAGAATTTAAGGTCCTTTATGGTGTATCATCAGTTACGAATGAAAATTACCTTTGTACGCATAATTTTCATAGGCAATATACTTTGTAAGGAATATTTACATTATTTCCATATAGACATAAAATATTCATCATATAATTGATAAAATAATTAAATAATAAATTTATAGATCTAAAATAAAAACACATATTTAAAAAATTGTCTTTTGTAATGGAAAGTTATAACCGTCACCTATAAATAACATTATAGATATCAAAGAATATACTGTAACGTACTTAGTACCTTATTACCATACTTGAGGACTAAAATATTATGTCTATGAAACTTGTAAGTACGCAGCCATATCTCACTTTTCAAACCAAAACCGCTATGGAGAACTGCGTGGCGGCAAAGACTTGTGTAGAATCTGTTACTTCATATTTTATTTGTTTACAGCTACGTTAAAGCCACCTTATCACAATGAAATTATCGACAGTCTCTAGTTCCAGCATGGTTATGTTGTTGAGCACATTCGCACTTATGCTTGTAACAATCTTTGCAGCACCAGTGGTAAGTTCTAAATGAAAACCATAGTCACATTTATAATAAACTTCTAAGGAGACGAGTTTTTTTGAGAAATATTCTTTCATTTTTAATAACGTAATTCCTAGTGTAGACCTTAAATAGGGCTTCCTTATGATCAAACATTATGATCATTACGATCAAACTGATTTCGTTCTCAGTAATTACTGTACATTTAAAAAAGAATTCTTTTTCATTATTTTCTTTTACTTTCAATGTCGTGTTTACCATTCCCGGCTATTCCAAGGTATAAGTAATTAGGTATTTCATATGTAAAATTCATATTACAAAGAGTTAAAAATTGTTTTAATGTATAGGTTTTATAATCAAATTTCTTAACAATGTAATTAAAAGTAATTAATATTTCTTTTTACATTAGGTAACATCCATGTTCTGCTCATTGTTGTTGATGTTTTATAATTAACCTTTTAATTGTTTACCTAAATAAGATGGCACGTATAAAAAACGTGCATTACAAAAAAATTTTGTTGTTGTTGTTTTTCATAAATATAATTTCCTCATAGGCACTGGACATGATCGATTTTCGGAACCAACCGTTTTTATTGTAACATGCTATTGAATATTTTTTTTCTTAATTAAATAATTTATTAATTGTATTATTAAATCACAGGAATCAGACGACGAACAATTAGAAAACACATTAGTGGCACGTCCCGATAACGGGATCGACTTATCAGGACCCTGGGACTCTATTGACACCGCTGCTTTGCGCAAACTACTTTTGCAGCTGGACTCTGAAGACAGGTAATTTATATACCTGATTAAAAATGCTCAGCGAATGTAATATAATTTGAAATATTTAATTTTAATTTTAATCCTGTGCAGTATATAATACCACTCTAAATTGAATTTCCTTAAAAATTCAATTTAAACTCATGGCACTAAAATTAACTGAAATTGATTGTATTGAATGGAACTATATAGTTAATGTAACCACAGGTAAAATAATACTGTACCAGTAATGTAACGTTATAAGTATTGTTAACAATATTTTGTTAGTAAAATAAATAATTAATTCATGTACCGAACCTAGTAACTCCGTCACCTATTCATCTTAGGCAGTTAACGTTCAGTTTAAATTTAGAAACTCTTCAAACTATTTGTAGTTTCGTATTTGGTTATGACCAATGATATTATAATAAAACAAAAGGACATTTAATATTCTCAATTACTATCGACAGTCGCATTTGTAAAATGACATAAAACTCGATACCAATAGCGACGGTCTTTACAAAATTCCATCTTTAAATACCTAATAAGTATAATGATCCTACAATATTAAAGCTTTATTTCATATGACCCGATAAAAAAAATTACACCCATCTTCATTCGCACATACTCTCATTAACACGTTACAATTTCTCGTAGATAGATTGCAAAATATGTAACTCAAGGTTTTCATTCATATACGAGAGAAGGGCGGAAAAATTACTAGTATTTGATACAATTAATAGATATTTAATTATTGCTCTCCTAAAAAAAGAAACTGATTATAAAAACATGCAGTACCTAAATATCATCATATTAGCCATTAACTGTCCACTGCTGAACATAAGCCTTCTCTATAAGAGGGGCTTTGCCAATAATTGCCACGCTTTGCAGGCGGGCTGGCACCTAAATATAGTAAAGGATATTTTGCACAAAAATCTATCCCTCACATCAAGTTCAAGTTGCTTGATTAAGGCGTTTAGGTCCACTATTCTCCACATTCACTGGAACACCGTTGATTAACCTAATCATGGCTCAACTTGCTTTGTGATTATACCCTAGCAGGCAGAACTAGTTCTGTGTTCTGTGTCTCGTAATTAAGTGTAAACCCGATGCGAAGCTTTTATTGAAAAAAACTACTCTTAATGTACAGACTTATATAAGTATGTATGTATGTATTTATTATTATCATAATAATAATAGTTCTGTACAAATGAAGTTTGAAATTTATTTTGACAAAATATGAAAATATGTTTGGAACAAAAATCATTAGACCTTATTCTATTACAAAAGTAATTAAAGATTAGTAAAAAATTGAGTATTTAAGTGTTTTAATGTGTCAGGTGGCAAGTGACAGAGCGCTTGTAACTTGATTCGAAGACTATATAATATTATATAAGCATATTAAAAATAATAACTAAAAACTAACGTTACGATTAGTTATTTCCGTTTTTAATATTTATTTATTAAAATTAATAATATTTAAATAGTACAATCAACTATGCATAAAAAGTGTTCCATAGCCTTGTTTTAAAATATCTTATGTGTTATAATTTTGATTTAATTCAATACACTTACACCAGAGGGAGACTTTGTACAAAAGTCGTTTGCTTGGGTACTTCTGTCCCATTCGTATTTCAACTGTAAAGCAGTTGTATTTGCATGGCTGTGTTTCTGTTTAAAGGGTGGGATAAGGCGTAAATTTACAGGATACAGAGGAATAACATCTGAGTCCTCAATATAGGGTATATTGGTCATGTCGATCACACAGTAGAGGATCCTCTGGACAATATCGTGGTTCTAATGAATTCGTCAGCATGGGTACAGAGGAATAAAACCTGAGTCCTCAGGAATAGCAACGCATGGGGGTTATCATGGGCGAAACAGTATACTCTGTTATGGCCATGGTACTGCTCATGTCTATAGGCGACGGCTACCACTTTCCATCAGGTGGGCCGTCAGCTTGTTTGCCATTCTAAGTTGTATAAAAAAAATTCATACTAAAAATAACCAGTGGTAAATAATTCACATAAGTATTATTAGATATATCATGATATATATATAGAAGATAAATATAGTCTATTCACTAACTTTTGAGTATGGTGTTGCAAGCATATGTAGGCGGCGTTAATCATTAAAAAACTTGAATTGGAAAAATTCGGAAGTTCGGTCTCGAATTCAATATTCGATCTTATATCCATCAACCAAACTATTATCGTATGTATAAATGATGATATTTAGTAATATTTAAAATTACATTTGTTTAATAACATTAAATATAAATCAAAACTTGTTTAAAAATAATTAAAAAGATAATTAAAAAATATTTTGATAAAGTATTTCAAATAGAGGCAAAACAAAATAAAAATACCTTTTAACTAATGAATATTTGCAGAGCGAATGATAACCCATAAAACGTTTTTCCTAACATAATAATAGGTAGAATTAAAGCAATTTTGCAGTTTAGATTTGTTGGATACTTACCTACGATATGGGAACGTTTTAATTAACAGTGCTAACCTGTAGATGTTTCTACAGTTCTAAGGGTTTGCATGTTACATATGGTACTATTTATTTTATACAACACGTTTTCAGAATTATGGTTGCTATAACCTTATCGCTAGTAGTTAATTTTGTCACGTGTCATAAAAATAATGTAAATTGAAAATGTATGAGTTGGAAATATTGAAACTTCATCTATCTATATCTACATATATATATATATATATATATATATATATATATATATATATATATATATATATATATATATATATATATATATATATATATATATTAAAAATTCAACCACTAAGTTGTAAAACAAGATAAGTGAAAATTTCTAAAAGGACTTCCGTCAGTTTATAATTTAGACACGTGAAATTTAAGTTCACGATTCATTACAAAAAATAATGTGTTTGATGACTTTTGAAGAATTTATCCCTAAGGAGATAAAATTTATTATAGTCGCATAATCTTGTTAAATTATTAATTAAAATTCCATACTATAACATTGTTATTAATACCAAAAAAATTACGGCCCACCTGATGGAAAGTGGTAACCGTTACCTGTAGATGTAATGGTACCATAGATATAGAATGTCATCCAACAAGTTGGTATTTCTCCATACCCAGTAATGTTTACAATAATAAAATAAAGGAAAAATTTTGTGCCATGTCCCACTACGACTTTACTAACATAGACTTAGAAATTCAATATCTACAACTAATATACATCATGATATCTTCTCTAACTCTCCTTTTGACAGACCATTGTACTTATTAGCGTAATGAAAATGTTATACTTGTAAATCCACTTATCTTTCACTGTAATAATTTTCCCCTATATTGGAAAAAGGATCTACTGTGAATTCATTTAGGAGGTTGTAATCCCCTAAAGTTATCAACCTAAATTCCTATCACGGAAACAAAAGTGTTTATATAAGGTTAGTTGACTTGATCTAACACACTATGTATACTAAAGTTAAGTATTAGAATTAATTTACTTTTAATATAATTTTGTTAGATGCTTCAGAAGTACAATATACCTATTATTGTAACACGTGCGCACATGTTTTTGTGAAGGAAATTAACTAAACGAATTTTACTTATAATCTACGTTTTTCATTAGCTTTTCTTTGTTATAAAAGATGTTTAATTTATAATATGTATGTTTATGTTCAATTGACAAATTTGCTCTCAAATTCTATGTATTATTAGATTTTTATAATGACGTAATAAAATTATTAACGACGTTACATCCCTTACCTTTGTCCTTGGGTTTGCATCTCTATTATAAGTAATTTCATCTAGAACAATTAAATATCTTAAATCGTACCAAATTTTCAAATTTCCTTTAATTTTATTATTGATTTGTATTCACCACTATCATTTATCATCTGAATTTTAACGAAACAGTGAACTCAATCAAAGAAAGTTTGGAAAATTTATTTAAGGGAATCTAGAACTGATCCGCTTGCTTTCACTAAAACAATAAATCTTGTTTTATTGAAAGGAAATGAATGAAACAGTTTCATTTGTAGATTTTAGATATATTACTTTTAGTTAAAAAAATTAAGTAAATATGTAGTGGCATCCTAATCATAAAACGCCAATATTATCTGAATTGAATAAGTAAATACAGTGTTATATTTACCATTATGGTCTTTAACACACACATTTTTTAACACTAGTACCTTAGCTATGGAGACACTAGTTCCCTGTCAGGTTTTCACGCCGTTCCTTCTGAAAACCGTTGTTATTAATTCGTATTTTACACAATGACCCAACAGACCTGGTAGACCCCACGAAATAAAATTCTGAATTTTCTAACTTAATTTCGTGTTTTCGTTTATCCTAAAATCAGCACAATTAATGAAGCTAAACATTTTGATCGCTATAAATTCTATCAAAAAATTTCAAAAGAACAAAATTTCAACAATTTTAATGTAACGATGTGTATTGTATAATTTTAACATCAAATTTTTATTTCATTCGGCCCCCAAATTTCGGAAAATATTTCATAGTAGGGTATCTGACTTCATTCTCGTTTCATCTTCCATTAGTACATACTCCGCCATTGTATATCGTTAGTACACATAGTGCACCATTCAACTTCAACCATTAAAAACACCCTGTCCATAAACTTGGCTATCTTCATTCTCATACACCTGCCTACTTACCTAAATATTAAAAATAATACATTTTTATTACACATAAGATACATAGTGTTTTATATATAACCAACAGGATGGGTCGAGTTAGCCGTTCATGGCCACAGACAGAACCCCGAGGCTGGGGCCTGCGGACTCTCGACGGGCGGCTGGCCCGACAATGGCGAGCAGATAAACGACAAGTCCGTTTTCGCCAATGCTACTTCAACCCCATCTCTTGTTTCCGCAAGTGAAGCCCCGACTGACTCCGCACTCCGCAGCGATAAACGACGTCCCGCTACAAAACATAGTTGTGTACATGACTAAAGCTTAGCAACTCTTTGTAGTGACTTCTTTCAGTTATATCAATGTCCGATGCAATAACAGAAAAAAGTAAATCATTATAGTCTTTTATTTTCTTTTTAGAATAACTTTTAAATCAGATGTTACCTAGGGTCTACTAAGGATTGTTAAAAACCTGATAGATTCAATGCAAGTAATATTACTAAAAAGCGTTCGATCGTGTTATAAAGTTTTTTTTTGTGCTAGTGTTTTTAAACCTTAATGTTTTTAAATGGCTTTGCTTTATATCTCCATCTGAGTTATTTCTCAATTGATTTTTTTATCTATTAAGTATATAGATATGCTTCTAACAGCGTTGCCAGATTATTTTATTGCAGATTATATTAAAGATGTTTCTCATCGCGAAATTCTGGAGTATACTATTCGTATCTTTTTATATAACAGTACGAATAGAATATACCAATGAAGACAACAACATGAAGTGAAGAAGGCGAGTGTAGAGAACAATTGTTTTTGTCGGTCGCGTAGTTCTTTTTAATGGGTGAGAATGAAGAATTAACTAAAATGGTTTCCAGGGGGAATCGTTATGATAGAACATAAAACTGTTAAGCTTTATTGCTGCCAATATATTAGTAATGAAACTAATAACTCCTAATAACATGCTTAAACATAGTACGACTATAAACCGACACAAGTTCGCGATGAGTAAAATTGAACAAAATCGTATCAATTTGTAGAAAAAAATATTATCATTTAAGTAAATCAATAATTAAAAATGGCAACGCTGCTTCTAAATAGTATTTCGCGGGCTAGCTCATTTTGAAGGAAATGTCAGGTTTTAAGCGATCATAATAGACCCCTGATATGAACCTATGTCCACTGTAATGTATGTTTACATTACACGTGTATTTTATGAGTATATCCTATATGGTCCTCTTGTAGAACGATTTTTCATTTAAATTCGTTTAACTGTATATTGACACCACTGTGTACTGCAAAAATCGATTGTATGACAAATATGTCTCCAAAGACCTTTACAAGTTTTAAACTTAAACAAATTAGTAGAATTTACCTATGTACCTGTTAAATTTTATAAATTTTTTTTGCATAAAATTTCTGCATAACTGTAAAAAACATACAATTTTCTCTACAACAAGTCGTATAGTTCCTAAAAGTCATATAAAAAGACGTAATCACATATAGGTCATACAAATAAAGGTCTGTAAATAAAATTTAAATGAAAGTTTTTAGCCTAGAGTTTAGAATGCTTATATGAATCCTTTTATCACATTAACTTATTTAAATTACGTATAATTGTAGTAGGTATATCTAATTATAGACTTCTTATAAAAATAAGATTTATCTCGATATTTAATTTACTTATGCATTTTGACTTTTTTTCATATCTTTTATGTACTATTTAATAATACAATTTTAATAAAAATTACTGCAGAAAGAGTTAACAAACAAAATAATAAATAAGTCATATTTATTGTTCTTGTATTGTCGTATTATAATGGACTTTTTTACTCTTAGCTGTTTATAGAATAGCGACTTACATAATACAATATAAGCTTATATAGCTATCTTAGTTACCTAGTATAGAATAATATCCTAAAAATGTATAATACCATAAACATATTATTTGTTGAATTTTTTTTTTGCAGATACGCCTTGCTCTTTGTACTTACATAATGTAAAACTAGTACGTACTGTTATAATATAATATATAAAAACTGATTTTTACCAACTTTATGTCTGTGTAGTGTAACTAATTCTAATTACCGGATCTTTTCAGTGAAATAAATTTACTGTTTGTCTAAACTGTGTGTGTGTTTTTTTTAACATAATTTCTTTTTTAAAATCATAATATCTAGATGATGTACTCCAAAATGATATCAGTTCTATAGTTCCACTAGTGTTTTTTTAATATTTATTTACATACCAAATTATAGTTATAAAACATTACATAAAGAGATATAAGAATAGTATGAAAAATTCAAATAATTATTTTTCCTTTTTCAAATATATTGTATGGCTTCTTTCCAGCCATTACCAATATCTTTGGAAGACTGGCAACACACTGGCAATCTCATATTGCGAGTGTTTTTTACCAAGCTTAAAGATTTCTAAGGTTGACTAGTTTGTCTCTCACACAATAAAAAAATATTTTAAAAATATACATACAGACCACTTACTTCAAATAACTATTGTCACATATTCTTGACAACCACAGACTCTAAAAAAATGACAAAATCATAATTATCAAGTCAATGTAGGAGCTTGAGTGAAATAACATGATCAATTACTCCATCTGGAATTATGCATAATTCATGAGCATACATTAAGCAGACGAAATCATCATCATGTTACCAGCGTTTCCTCATTTTTAGTATCGACACGACGAAATAATGAATAGAAATTATTAAAAGAAAAATAATTTTATATATAAGTAAGTTTTCGTTGCCGCATGTAGGAGAGTACAAGTTTATAAGTATATTATCGTACATTATACTAAGTCTATGATATTATCTGCGCTACACGCACGAGATATAACAAAACAGTGGAAGTTACTTTTTAATGAAATTTGATTTAAATTAAATATAAGCAAACATATAAAATAATGCAATTGGATTGCCAAGTCTCAGTTAGTCGCAATCTAGAATTGCCAGATAAAAATAACTAATAACTTTGGTTAATTTAATATATAATATATATTCTACTCGTCGTGTTTTTTAATAAAAATTGCACCAATCGAAAGTTTTATTTTTTTATACACAGTAACATATGGTTGCCTGATACAAAATAGTAAAGGTTGCCAGCATCTAAAATTGTATTCTAGATGTGGTGCTATTTGGAATTGGTTTCGTTTAATAAAATATGTACTAAACGAAAGGTTACCTACTCTTTTTTCTCGATGACAACTTTAGGTTACAGCTAACTAAGAACAGGTTAACTGAGAACAGACAACATAGGTACAGAATAGGTATACTCAGAGAATAATCTTATTTCCTGTGTATATCTATTCCTAGTATCTACTAAGAAGTATACTGGGAAAAGATCACTACTACAAGCAGGTGATACTTCTCTGCATTGGGCTCTACTTACTATTCAAGTACAAATACATGGTATATGCCACGTTGGAATAACACAGTTTACATGGCGCGCGAGTTACAAATCAAAGGTTGTACGACGCACGTCTATTTGAGAAAAAATATCAAATGTGCTGTACAGCGTTCAAGAATAATAATAAAAAAATCTTTCTTTAATTATCCTAAAGGCCCTTCTACGAAATTATATATAATTATAATATTATTTGATTATAATATTATGATATATTCGTTATAGATCTATATGATTGAAATGTATGTTTAGATCACATAAAACACATGACAAATTAATTATGTGAATGTACCTATTTACCTAGGTTTTTAAGACATTTTCACTAAAAAAATATTTTTATATAAAACTAGCATCTCTTTTTCTTTTCTCGCATGACAAATAAAGTATCGTATTGGAAAATAAAATAAATTTCATTCAATTCCTTTCACTTTTTTAAGCGTGTTTGAATAACAAACTGCGTATAGTATCATATCACATTAGCCCTTAATTATCCACTACTAAGCACGGACCTCCCCCTATCGGGGGGAAATTTTGCCTGTAGTTGAAACGCTTAGCAAGTGGGTTGGTACCTGCAGTGTGACTTTGATAATGTTTTAAGAAGGACATTACTGCTCATCTTTCGAGCATTAAGTTCTCTAAGTCGCCTCTTACAACACCCACGGGAAAGGAAGGGATTCCTTTTCCGTACTACGTGATTGAGTACAAACATATGCTGTATGAGATAAAACAGTGAGTATTAGTTAGATTTTATAAAAAAAATATTTAAATTTTTCAATACGAGTATCATTTTTTATTTATTTGATGATTCTAAAAGTAGGCTATAATTAGTAGGATGATGATAAAAAAAATATATTTTTTTAAATTTATTTTTCTCTCTTGTGACAACCCTTACACATTTGTCGGCATATCAAAAGAACTTTCCTTCTGGATATTTTACGATTTTAGTAACATTTTATCCCGTCTTTAATTTAAATCAATTTTCATTGAAAAGTTTTATACATAGAGAGGTTAACAACGGGATCGTAGATTATTCTCTTTAACGCTGCTCTGTGAAAATTAGTCCAGATATATATTATGTAGTTGTTATTCATTGTATGTGTATATTCTTTATAGTCCCATAACAAGTACGATATTACATAATTATAAATTATGTTTATATACTAGATATATCACGCGGCTTCAACCACGTGAATCAGTACATAAAGTCTCTTAGTGCTAAGTTAAGATATAACCTACAGTATACCAAATTTCATTCAAATTCATTTAGTAGTTTTAGCTTGAAAAAGTAACAAACATCTATCCATCCAACGTCGGCAATTAAGAAACAGATATGTAGGTACTATTTACTTGTAAAGGTTTTTACATCGCGTTAAGTCCCGATTGTATATTTAAAATATATCTATCCATCTATCCTTACAAACTTTCACATTTATAATATTAATAGTATTATATCACCATAATATCTAAACATGCTTAGACGAAAATGGACTCCTATACAAAACATACTAAAATATTTGTGGTTGGTGAATGATAATTCGTAAAATTTAAAGAAGGTCACTGGAGAATTTGTGAGGTAAGTATTTACTTCCTTTTATTTTATAGTAAAAGTTCATGTCCGTTCCAATTTGTACCAAAATTGCGTGATTGACACCATCTAAGAGGTATAAAAAAAGAAAATCCGATCAATGAATAAAAGGTATTTTAAGATCGTTTATAAAATAAAACAAACTTGGCTACATTTTCATTAAATTTATATATATATATATATATATATATATATATATATATATATATATATATATATATATATATATATATATATATATATATATATGTTAAGATTAGAATCCATATAGCACGATATTTCTAATTTACAATCAAATTTAATTTGATTGTATTTAAATTATAGAAATTATACAAATTATAGAAATTCCAGTCGCAAATGTCAATATAAGTAAATCAGAAAAAGAAAGAAGGAAAATATAATATTACTTATACTTTATTTAACTGAATGAAACTATGGAATGGGTCCTGTAATGGAAAAAAAATTTATGTAAAACACGTTTTCATAATTTTTCAAGTTTCCTTCTATCTATCTATCTTTGGGCGGCGGTAGTCACTTACCATCAGGTGAGCCGCATGCTCGTTTGCCCCCCGTGTGGTAAAAAAAAATCTATCTATCTATTTAAGAGCTGCGCTCTTGTCGGTGGAGCTCTTGCCACTCACTACGATTTTCAGCGAGTCTCTTCACCTCTTAATACGACACAACACTAACTCCTTCCTTGATCTGCCTGATGTAACTATGTCTCGGTCTCCCTCTCCCCCTCCTTCCTTCTCTCTTACCTTCTATTATAATGTTCATAAGTTCGTCGTGTCGTATCAAGTTTCCTTATTAAAAAATAATAATAACTCTTTTTTGCTGTTTGTTATTGAGCTCATAGGCGTATTCATATGTGCCCTATCCAGAATAGTCTGATACTTACCCCAGGTTGTGAGCTATGCTTGCAGCTATTCATAAGACATATCTGAAAGTAGATACATATGTAGCTTATTTCAAGGGGTTAGGCCCCCTTGGAAGATACTCTTAAATATACCAATACCTGTGCAATCAGAATCTCAATTTGATAACAATAAGGCTACATAATATCGTGCATAACTTGTTTTATCTATATTAACAGCTTCAAGATTCAAAGAGAACATGCGCAATATAATGAAAATATGAAAATAGTAATTCTTTGAAGCGGAATATTATAACGACATACTTACTCCTAATAGTGAGTATAATATCATATATGGGACGCGCGTGCAACACATCTCATCGAGTAGCAGATACTTTCATCGTAATTCATAGCATAATAAAAATGGGTCAAGTGAATTTCGAGTCACGCACAAAGCGGACACTATTAGATCCACTACATGGTAAATGTATCCATTGCTAACATTTTTAACCGCTAAAAACAGAAAATGTTCTCAAAGCAACCCTTATATTTTAATATTTTTTATATATTACCACGCGTAACTTTTAATAATATTAATAATAATTTTATTCAAGTGAGATACAGTTGCATAAAGTACAATTTACAATTTTTACAATTTATATTGAACGAAAAAAATATCTACATTACCATCAGTCCCTAAACTAGGCCAGACCTGTATCTTAGGGATAATTTTAAAGTTTAGTTTGATTTAGATAATTCTTTTTTTTTTTTTATTCTAAACGGCATATTTTGAATTTTGTCTCATTTAAATTAAAAAAAATCATAACTAATGATAGCAAGTAGGGAATGACGACCGTCATGCACTGAATTTTCAACTGCGAACTGAAAATTCTATTGAAATTTGGTACAAATATGTACCAAATTTCAACTCCTTCATACCATATCTCAAATGACACTCCAACAAGACGGAGATCTAAAGGTATTCTAATGGCGAAGACAGAAGACAATCAAGGGTACTCCTTAACTATTCCTAACTTGGAAAACTAAATAAGCCAATAGCTCTCCTGATGAATGGTAACAATATTTTATAAACATCAACAGCACCACTAAAATCACAGAATATACTATGGTACCAATGGAAACCCTCATGCATTCCCCGAACATGTACTCTGTTATTTTCCATACCTTCAAATCAAAACACAGAAACGCAGACACAATCATGCAAGCACAACTACTTCACGACAGAAACACAAATGAGGCAGAATTAG